CTCATTCATATATCCGCGAAATAATGCTGAATAATTTCACCATAAATACGGCGCGTCCGCGTGGGCGTAAAGTAACGATAATGCAAGTAAATAATGGACGCGGGAGAGTTTTATTACCTAGGCGGCTGAATGGGGCGAGATAGAATCTACGTGTCCGCGCCGCGCCGCGCCATAATGCCCGCTACGTGTGTGTGCGTGGATATGCCTTGTGCCGCAGCCCCCTCGGAGAGTCCGAGGATGCGAGGGATCCTCCGTACACCTCCTCGTGCACGGTCCTCGACATGTCGCTCGGTCTTTACCCAATGCGACGCGACGTCACCCGAAGTTCGGATGAGAAAGAGAGAGGGAGAGAGAACAACGTTTATTACATCCTAAGGCGAGCCCTTTAAGAAGAAGCGAGATGCAGGGTAGAGTCGGGAAGAAATAACGATATTCCGCTGATTCTAAATCAAATGAAACGGAAATAATTACGCGAAAGCAAGAGGGAACTAAGAATGAATGAGAGGTCCACTTTAGAGAGTGGGTTACAAAGTAACTTTAAGTCATACATACCTGAGGGGAGAAGAACAAATTGGGCTGTAAATTTGTTAATTTAAGCTCTCGAATCTAAGCCCAAGCGGGCTCCGCAATGAGAAGATTTAGGCCGTAAAGCGAGAAAAAAAATTAATTATGATTGATCGACTTCTTACAATCTTACGCCTCAAATTCTCCATGCAGTCCCCTCCCTCCCGTCCTCCCCCGCTTTGGAGGGGCTTCTTCTCCCTTGATGCCGGTAAAACGTAATTGTCGCGAAAAATCCCTCCCTTACGAGGTGAAATCAATCGATATACTTCAATATGTATCTTAGTGTACAAGAATGATTCGAGGTTCGCGTCGCGAGAGAAAACGAATCGAAGCGGAGAGGAACTCCCGGGCAGGTACGCGGATCGAGGTCAGCGCGTATCGACGAGTCCGACACGGGCCGTGACAGGTCGCGCGCGCCTTCGTCTTTCGGGCACATACTCGCTCGCTCGAGCGTGATCGCGCGTCGCGTGATCGCGGCCGCGCGATCCAATTCGCGCGACGGCCGCGCGATGATAAGCTCGCTCGCCCCGAGATCTCGCTCGCTCTCTCGGCGCGAGGTCAGCCGCGCGGGGCGGTTTCATGGCTGACATTTTCCTGGGCGTTTATCGTGATAATGCGGCTTTAGGTCAGAGGGTGTGGCTTCCCCAGATTGATTCGACGAGGTCGCTTCTGCGCACTGCGTTTCCACCTTCGCTATTCACGGCGGCGGCGAGCATCACGATGGCGTTGCATCGCGGCTGCCTCTCTCTCTCTCTCTCTCGTCGGCGCTCTTTGTTGCACATCACTTCCATCGCGCCTTCGCGTTTCTATCGGCGCGGATCGAATTTCGGCCGATGCTATATATCTGGCCCGTTTCCGATGCACGGATTTGCGGCGTAGCTCGCGCGCGAATTGTCTGCCTCCGGACGCATCAAAGACGCCGAAGATGTTGCGCAATTCGCGTAATGCGATAAGCATCTGTGTATTAGTTTGTCACATGCATGATATATATATAACACGTGTGGAAATGTGTCATTAAAAGGTGACTGCGTGTGAAATTAACACACACACGCGCGCAGGTTTAGATTCGCGGAGTTTTCGCGCACGGACCACCTAGCCGAGCCTAAGCCGCCGAGGCCGAACGGCAGGAACGCGGGGGGGCGCGGGAAAAGTTCCCGCCGCTCCGGAATCATTGACAGCATGCTAATGCGCGTCGGAGGAGAACGGATATATCTCGGCGTCCGCCGGTACAGAACGGACTGGATTTATCGGCGCGCGCCGAGGGGGGGAGGGGGAGAAATAATTCCTTTTTCCGAGGACGACTGCAACGTCGCGTCCTCGTCGTCGGTCAGCCGTCGTCGACGTCGACGACGACGACGTTGTTGTTATTGCGATACAACCGGCGCGATCAACTGGAATAATCAAGCGGAGGATATTAGCGTATACGCTCGCTCGCGTGGGAGTGCGCGCACACGCGCGCCCACACGGACGCACGCACGGATGCGCGCGCGTGCACACACACAGGCGCGCGCATCGGCGGCATAATGACGACGCAGTATCGACGGCGTGGGTGTTCGTTCTCGCTCCGACAGATTCGAAAACGCATTATTAACACCGGCGACCCTGGCTCTATGATTACGCGCATTAATAGCCGGATGGACGAACTTTGCTCGCGCTCCGCACTATCATTATCGCAACGCGAGAAAGAGACGGATGAACGAGACCGCAGGAAAAGAGGCAGGGCCCGCTCTCCTCTCGGGCCTCCGAGATGGAACGAGAAAGAAAATTACGAAACGCAGGCGCGCGTTCGTTCTCGAACGAGCGTACTTAATTTCGCACGCGCTCTCGCACGTAATATAATCGCGCGTTCCCGGGCGTATTTTATTATCGCGTTTGCAATCCACGTCGGAGGGGGAAGGAGGGGGGACGTCAAACTCGCTTTTCGCGCTTACGTTTAACGTCGTCGAAACGTCGGCTAACGGGAGGAGAAGTGATCGCACAGGTGACTAACGCCGCGACGTTGACGCGTTGTCGCTTTATTTAGGCGGAGTTACGCGCTAGAGAAATGACTCCGTCTGATTCAGATGTGTGTGTGTGTGTGTGTGTGTGTGTCTGTGTGTGAAAATAAGTAATATATATTGTAGAATTAAGAGTTTAACATAGGGCCAAAGTTTCGACCGGGCTCTCTCTCTATCTCTCTTTCTCTCGCATCACCGGGGGGAATTGAAATCACCGGGATGATAGCAGCCTCGAGTCCCTCGATTCTCCCTTTCTTCGGTCGCAAAAGTAAATTCTCTTCGGCCTTTCGCCGCTCGTAAAATCGGTACCTTCGCGATTGTCGGCGCTATCGTTCGTCGACACGACGCGGCGAACGCTGTACGATTTATGGCAGATTTAAGTATAATGTTTCGCGCGCGCGCGTCCGAGCCCGTATCGTGCCTCGCACGCGCGCAAACTCCTTTTCAAATTGCATATCAGGCACGATCGAGTGTCGCGAGTGTACCAATCTTCCGACGATGAATTATTCATTGTGTAAATAATTCATAAATTACTGACGAGCGCACAAAGTCGTCCGAGCAGGTCCGATCGAAGCAGCCTCGAAAGAAGCGTCGGATGGAATTTTTTCTCAACGAATCGACGGCGACGTCCCTCTCGGCGAAAAAACCGAGCGACGAATTAGAAACGGCAATTGGAATGAGGGAACAACGTCTTCTTTTCCGTTTCCGACGAGAAATGTTCAGCTCTCGACACGTTTGAATGATAAAATATTCGATCTCCTCGACTTCTTCCCGAGCATTGAAGCTTCGCATTTCGATATGAAAATTCTATCGTTTAAAGTCGACGTTTATTTTCGAGATCGAGACTTGTTTCCAAGTCATCCCCGGGATTTCCGAGGATTTTGAGTCTGACGTCCCCAGGATGTCACCACCGGGAATCCTTAATATTCCGCAAGAGAAAGAAACAAAATCCCCCTCCCTAAATTTCCTCTCCGACATTTGGCGCGCGAATTCTCCGATCCGAGCGCGGAGAGATCCCGAGAGACGAGCGTGTCAGAGTGTTCGTAAGAATCGACGCCCCGTAACCCTCCCTTCAACCCCTTCTCGAGGCTTACATTTCCGACGAGCGAGAACAATATCGAGAACTGAGCATCGACGAGAACCGCCGGGAAGAGCGAGAAGGGGGGGGGGTTCTTCGGTACAACCTGAACGTTATATGCGGCCCAGCCGGGCGCGCGCTCGTCCTCCTCGTCGTCTCTCGAGGAGAAGGAAGAGGGTGAACGCGAGTAAGCGAGCGGTGGAGCGCGTCTCGGCGAGGCGCGCGAGGGCGGCGTTGCTCGTGCGGTACAAATCATGCGGAGGATGACGCGGCATCGCTTGCCTCCGCCGCTTCTTCCGTCACTCCACCTCCAGCCCGTGCTGGACGTCGTAGGGCGTTGCATGTTAACGGGGCCCCGACACGGGGACTTCTACGCGCGAACGCGCGTATCACCATACCGCAAGTCACTCGCTCTCTCCCTCCGTATCTCTTTCTCCCGGTACACACGGTGTTTCGTGACATTAATTGTTATTGTTATTATTACGATTGTTATTATTACGTTGCATATCGAGGCCCGAATTGCCGTCGAGTGAGAAAAAGAAATGCTCGGGGGAGGGAGGGGAGTTTTTCAGAGCAATTTGTATCCGCTCAACTCGTCATCATTGATGTCCCTATGACGATACTATTATTAGGTGTGCGAATTAATTCGCTATCTATTTTGGGGGGGGAATTCAAAGTGTTCATTCAGAAAAAGGCAAGTACGCACATTTTTATATTCGAAATAAGACCTGGCGGTTTCGACTGTTTTTAAAAGTGCGTATCCGCAAGGACGATGTTGAGGCGCGCGAAATGGGTGGGCGATCCGACGGGGCGAATAAGCCGCGATGAGGGAGAATTTCCCAGCCCCGATGCACAGACGAGATCCTCCGTCCCTTTCGCAGTGGGTGTGACCGCGCAGCCGGAATCACCCGCCTAGTCCCGTCGCCGGTGAAAGGTCATTTTGCAAGTTTTACGGTTGGTATCGCAGCACCTTCACCCGGAGCGGAACGAATCATTTCGGTAGACTGGAGCGGCATATTTATTCAACCGGAGTGCAAAATAGATGCTTTCCTTGCCGTTTTCCTGAGCTTTATATCGGCAAAAGGCCGTTCAACAAGGCTATTACAACGCTTCTCAAGTCTTAAGTCTGCCGGATCGCCATACAGAACGGAAAGGGAAATTTAAATCTGCACCGGAGTTGCAGAACATTAAAATGCAAAGCGCACGGCGAATTAATCGGTACACCTGATAAATCTTGGTCGCCGGCACCGATTCCCGATTTCTGCGCCGGCCGATCGTTCCCCTCTTCACCGTGCAACGATATAATAATCATACGTGTTCTTCTTCTGTCCCTCCCCCTCCCCCCTCTCTCCCTCCCCTAGACGTCGGACCTGGACACTTTGCTGTGCAGGCAGGATCTCGACCGTCTACAGAAGCTGGACGAGGATGAGTCGGAGAGGGAGGCGCGTGAGCAGTCGGTGCACATGGAGGACTTCTTCGAGGTCGGCGGGCCGGTGTGCAGCCGGCCGCAGGCGAGCTTCGTCTCCGCCAGGAGTCAGCCGGCCGGCAACGACGACGACGTCTTCCTCAGACCGCCGCTCTGGGAGGACATCACGTCGAGCATTCAGAAGCTGGACCCGGAGAACGCGGACATGCTCGGCTCGCAGCCGCACGTCAAGCTGGAAACGGACGACGTGACGCCGCCGCCGGTGCTGTCCCCGGTGGAGATCAAGACGGAGCCGTTGCCGCCCCAGCCGACCCTGCACCTTCTCGAGGGGCCCGCCGCGAATCCCGCCGCGCAGAGCGCCTTCCCGACCGGCCACCCCAACCCGCCGAGCGTCCAGCACGTGGTGCATCATCGGACGTCGACGACGCTCTTCAAGAGCTACCCCAACAATAATAACAATAACAACAACAACAATAACAACAATAACAACAACAACAACAACAGCGGCAGCAACGCGAGCGTGAACGGCAGTAGTGCGAACGGGAACAGCAACGGCAGCGTCAACGACAATGTCGGCAGCAACAACGGCGGCGGCAACAGTGATTCGACGACGAGTCATCACGGCGGCGGCGGCGGCCATCAGGCGAGCGGCAACGCGACGTCGCCGCTCTACGGCTCGATGACGAGGCTGATGTATATTTCGCCGCTGACGCCACCGATCTCCGACCCGGGCTCGCCTATCGGCGCCGGTCCACCCAGGCGGACGCCGCCACCCCCGTATCCGCAGCCGCCGATCCTGAATCCGGCCCACCGGATCCAGCCGCCGTCGATGGCGGCCAAGTTCAACAGGCGGAACAACCCGGAACTGGAGAAGCGCCGGGTGCACCACTGCGACTTCATAGGTGAGCGTTTGATCTTCTTATCTCGGTGCGCGTTTCCTCCGTGGAAATGTTGTGCTGATGATTTTACTGAAATTCTCTCTCTCTTTCTTTGTCGCTCTCTCAATTGACCCCGTTTCACTGTCATTCCGCCGCATGTGCGGCCAATTCTCAGTTAGATTCGGTAAATTTCAACGGTGTACATTAACTTTCCTTATATTCGAGTACTGGCGTATTATGAATTTGACGAACAGCGAGATGCGAAAGTTACTGGGAAATTACTGAGATTTATAATAACAGATGTTTCCAAATAATCGTAATTTTTATCGTAAAATTCAGCGTATCGCTGTGAAATGTAACGAAAGTTCAAGTATAATTCTGTCAAGTAATAAGAGACAATTGACAACAGTTATCCGAGTAAAAAAAAAAAAGAAAACAGAACCGCCATGCAAGAATCTTTCTGTTCCTCACAACCGGGTTTGTTTTCGTCCGTCAGGCAACGGACGGAATTCAGTTCACGTTTCGGCCGAATGATTTTTTCCGGTGTGCACGTGCACTCGGACCGTTGGAGAAACTCTCGCGAAACGACGACGACGAGGGCGAGTCTCCCCGTTCGCCGAGGCTCGGGAAACGAGATCTCGACGACGGGAGATCTCCCGCTCGGCTAATTTCGACACTCAACTCTCCGCTCTCTTCTCTTTCGCAGGTTGTACGAAAGTCTACACGAAGAGCTCGCACCTGAAGGCTCACCAGCGGATACACACCGGTGAGTGAGCGAGAAAAAGCGTATTTCAGCGAATTTCACGTACGTTGTGTTGTTGCTAAACTTGCGAGCGTTGCGTAGAATTAAAAGGGGGAGAAGCCACTGTGTGTGTATGTGTGTGTATTCTCTGGTAATTAGGTATGTAGCTCATCTATGGAGCGAGACGGAGTTTGAAACGCGCGAGGTCAAGCACTCCGCGTGGGCAGGGCGCACTCCCGTGTCTCTCTCTCCCTTTCTCTCTGTCCCTCTCTTTCTCTCTCTCTCTCTCTCTCTTCGTTTCCACAGCGTTTCTCCGTGCGGGCGGCGCGCGATGTCGCGCAAAAGCGCTTTTATTTCTGTACGTAAACGTACAGAAGGGACGCACGCTCGTGATGTGCGCGCGACTCTCCGTTTCTCCGTAGCGAGCGAGCGAAGCGCTAGTGATCGACCCACATCCTATCCGTGTCCAAGCTCCTCCGTCGCAACACACACGCGCGCACACACACACACACACACAGCACCGCCACCAACACGACTAAACGCGGGCGATACCTGAGCGAATACGCACGCACGCGTTCTCACACGCGCGTCGGAGCGCACGCGGCAGCGAGATAGGGAGGGGCGCGGCGAAGGGGAAAGAGCAGGAGAGAGAACGAGGAAGAGAGAGGGAGAGAGGGGGAGAATGGGAGATAGGTGAAGAAAGAGACGGAGAGACACGGTGCTTCCCGCACACGTGCCTACGCGGCAGTTTCCCGCGGAATGCAAGCCGGAGGCATCTTAAGTGCGATGTACCACTTTCGAATTGATATCCCGGCTGCTTTTTGCACGGGTAAAACCCGTGTGTGTCGTTGTCGTCGTGCCTCGAATCCGATCGGAAACGAGCGGCGTCAAGCGGCGGCGGCCGCCGAACAACGGGATGAATGGCGCGGGCGTCCGCAGCTCGCTTTCTTCTTCTTCTTCTTTCTTCTCTTCTTCCTCCTCATCCTCTTCTTCTCACACACAATACGGCCGGCAATAGCCAGAATTAATTCGCCGCTCGGCGACTCGTGTCTACGACGCGTTCCCGACGCGTCCACCGGCCGAGTTCTGGCAAGAAGACACTTCGTCCTGCTTGGATCTCGCTTGGAAAAACGTCGATCGATCGTCGATTCTCGCGAGATCACGGCGATGAGGATATTTCAATTCGGACGAGTAGCCGCCTCGGCGCGGAAAGAATCTCGAGAGGGACACGTGGTCCCCCCGAGAGTCGGTCGGTCGGTCGGTCGATCGCGACTCGTGAATGAACTCTCGGCCGCATGCTGCGCCGGCATCACTCCGGTCTCGGCTTCATTATTAACTCATTCGGGCTTGATAATGTCGTCGTCGCGAAAATAAAAGACGGCCGATTAATACGTAATTCATCGGCTCGATATATCCCGTGACCGCGCGAATAATATGATAATTAATGCATGATTAATGCGAGGACGTCGCGGCCTGCGCGAATATGTAAAAGTATAAGACGATCAATTATATATACGCGATATAATATAAACGTTTCTCGGCGTCGTGAATAATGCATGATTAAGTGATCGAGCGACTATGCATTCCGTATAAGCGTGTAATATTATTAATATTTAATATGCCGAGAATATATTCTTAGACGTAATATTCTAGAATATGTTCTTAGACGTAATATTCTAATAATATTCTAGCGATATCATTTAATATTACGTAATATTTCTGGAATATTAAGAGATGGTTAACTCCTGATAATATTTGAAAAATAATGTTATTTAATATCATCGCAATATTATATATTTTTTTAAATATTATATTATATATTTTTTTAAATATGTATATATAATATATGTAATTGGAATTATTTACTTGAAATGTATTGCAACACCAATTGTCTTATTATATAAATAACGTTGAGATAATTCTGTGTAAAAATACGTTTTATATTTAAAAAAATGATACATATACATATAAAAATATTACACAACATTAGAATATTATAGGAATATTATTAATTATATTTATTGTATTAATTTGGAATAGTATTCATATATAATATTCTACTCTCTTCTCATATTATGCGCTTATGTGGGTTTTATCCTCAATATGTCCCGATTAAACGGCCGTTTTCTCGCGTCTCGCGAGTTTCTTTCCGCGATCTCGTCGTCTCTCTCGGCGACTTCGATCCTCCGTTCTCCGGACTTTCGGGATTGTCCCCGTGGAGTTATGATTAATTAATCGCGGCGAGTTATGTTATCGCCGGTCGTCGTACAATACGCGACGTTAATTGGACTTACTCGGTCAGCTCGCGCGAGAAAGCATCGACGGGCGGTCGCTCTCGTCCGAAGAGATCTGGAGCGAAGTAGGGCTAGGAAGCGTATTTGGAAAGCAACTCGTCCGCGCGAACGGAACTCGCGCGGCATGCCCGAGTGAAAGTGATCCGAAATTAACGGGGACGTCTGGATACGCTCGTAGGTTGTCACCCGGACTGATCGACTTCGGATGTGCCGTCGCGCCAGAAACGCGCGCGCGTCTCTCTTTCTCTCTCTCGCGCAACTTAGAGATGCAAATCGAGAAGAATTCGAGAAATGAATCGCCTGCGACTTCTGGCAAGTAAGCTTTGAATTTCGTGAAAAAAAAAGACGCCGAATTGACTTGTTGACACCTAATATTCTACTACCTCACAGCTGCTGCTGTGCGCTCTGAAGCTCTTAAAAGCAACCACACTATGCGAAAACTTCGGCCGAGGAACTTCCCTCTCGGCGCGATACTCGGTGCCGCTGCCGTGTTTTTACACCGCGGATGTCACATCCGAGATCCCGGATTCGGAATGCGCTCGAAATCGCGCGGATCGCGGGAGAGATTTATTATCCGCGTCCCGCGCGACCCTCGTGTGTCCTTTTTCCGACTGTCAGGACTCGGGAGTCGCGAATTCACGCGAGAGAGAACCGAGTCTCCGGGCGACGATGGAAGGGAAACTCAGGCAACGAAAAGCAACCGCGGCAGGTCGCTCGTTCTCTCTCTCCCTCTCTCTCTCTCGCCGAGATCGGCTCGCTCGTCCGCCTCTCGGCGGGTGGAATTCTCACGAACGCGCGATACCGTGAATGGATGATGCTCGTGGTAGTAGTACCGTTCCCTCGGCTGTGCGTCGCGTGGCGCGATGCTGCTCGCCGCGGCGCGCAACTCTCCCGGCGTGGCACAGGGCGGCGGCGGCGAAGACCGGTTAGGGTCGTCTCCGTACAGCGCGAGGAGGACAGGAACGAGCTAGAAGGATGCGTGGGTGTATCTCTCAGCTATCGAGTTCTTTCTTCTTCTCTCCCGTTCCCTCTCTGCGCACCCTCTTCTCCATTTCCTCCCTCACCTCTCTCTCTCTCTCTCTCTCGCTCGCTCGCTCGCACACTCTCCGTCTTTTTCCCGTCGATCCCGTCTCGATCGCCTTAGCTCTCGCTCGCTCGTGCTCGCGCGCGAGAGATCCTTCCTCGCGATCGAATTCGCGAGGTCGGAGAGGCAACGTTCGATGCAGGCCGCGGGCGGGACGGTGTGCGCGAGCTTAGAGAACGGATCGGGTAATTTGTAAGGTGCACTCCGATGACGATTCCACGACGGTGCGGGCTCGCAGCACCTAAGGCTGCGAGGATCCCCCGCGCACTGAGAGGAAGATTCCTTCAGGTTTAATACGTTTTCTACACGCATCTAAACAGGTTTCATCAAGTCGTCCCCTCCCCCGCCGGGATCCTGCGAATCCGCGGATTCATTCTGTATCCGAATGTTTGTGACGGTACATCCGCACGCGATTCGTGCGCATCTTCCCAACCCGGGAACAGTCGCCTTACTTTTTTTTCTTTTTACGTTAACGATCAGTCGGGGTCATTTAGACCCCAAATGAAAAACCGCTATTATTAACGAAATATATAGAATCCCGGGTTAATCGTCTGTGAGGGGTGAACATACGTCGGGAGCTTAATGACAATAAGGAAGGCGCATTCACCGGTAATCGGGCGGAGAGCTGAGGCGGAATGCGGGCATGTTGGCTCGCATTAGTCGTTCAGCGCATTCGGCCCGCGAGCGCGCGGTCGGTCCGGCCGGCTCGCGATTGCGCTAGAATACAGGTGAGCGTGTTGCGGCATGCAGGTACAGTTAAAGGTCACACCGTTGCATCTCTCGCAGCTGAGAGAGGCGCGAGAAGGTATATATATATATACATATATATATATATATATATATATATA